CGCGGTGGGCCATTGGTGCCCCCCCTTCTTAAATCCCTTCAAAGCTTGTCAAACACGCTGCGCGCCTTCAGGTCAGAAATCCAACAGCTGCAGGGAAACAGTCACACATATACAGGTTAAACACTTAAAGCTGCTGGAATTAGAAAAAATCCTCCTCGCTTTTTGCAGTTCCTCTACAAAACAAGAGGAGTACGTGCCTCCACTCACGCCCCTGTTCCTACATGAACGCTCTGCCTTGTAAACACTCAGCGTGTTGCATTACAGATACAGTCGATATTTGTCAACATAAACCAACATTTTTAAGATAATGCAAAAAGAACTAAAAATCAACCCCGACTGTCGGAAAATAAAAGCATACAATGTCTTAAAAAGGCTCATCTACACATAATAAACATCTGCTCAAAGAAAATAAGATAATAAACCGAGCTTCCTCCTCGTGCAGTGGAACATGTGTGGGTCATGAATGTGAGCATGAAGACTTACAGTGATCGCCTCGCAGCGCTCCGTGTTTATAAACAGCCTGTCGCTCTGCAGCTCCTCTCCTGTTGCTACAAAGCTCGTCACTCTCTCTGTTTTTAAGTTACACGCGTAGCTCGATGTGTCCACACGTCTCCTTCGTCTTGTTGACGTCCCCGATGATGTTCTGCTGCAGATAAGTGTCAATAAAGTGTGATGTTTGTTTTTAAAGGACGTCAGTGTGATACTGTTCTGCTGGGAGGTGCTCCCTCCACCCCTCCTCTCTCTTACTCTGTGCGCTGAAGATTATTCTGGATCCTCGAGCTCTCAGCAAACTGGGACACGGCGTATTTCACTATTTTGGACTACAATTCCCGAAGATGATAGCGTCACCGAGGTTAAATCTCGCGAGTCTATATTGGACATTGGGTTGCCATGTTTGTTTAACGTAATCAGCTTCCCCCCCGTTTCTTTTAGTTAAGCGTGTTTTCGTTGTTATAAGTTATATGGTTTGATTCTAAGCATCGTCTCAGCTTTATTTCAAGGATATTTTAGGTCATTTTCTCCCCCTCACCCCCCCCCCTAATCTTATAACTGTTATTTATTTTAACCTGTAATTTTTCCCTCTTATTTATATACCTTTATGTTTTGGCGCAACTGCGTGGGTTTGTCACTGTGTGTTTCAGGGGCCATTCTCTGACGGTATTTAAATGAGATCAACACGCAATCATCAAAGGATAAAGCAGTTTAAACCAAAGTGCAAAGATTTTTATTTATATATATATTTTTTTTAGTTTATTTTTTTTAAATTCAGTGTGGAGAGTAGAGCACAATCAGTCATAGGTATTTCTTTATCACTGAAATATATATATATATATATATATATATATATATATATATATATATATATATATATTTCAGGGTCCTATTGCATTACTGAGTTGGTGGGGGGTTGTCAACCCACTGTTTTTGTATCATATAAGACAGTCAAAATTTTGCCTTTTTACATAATTAACATGCATTAACATGTGTGAGATAAATTTAGATGAAGTATTTTGTTCAACGTCTTAGTTTTTCAAACTGCTGCTTGTAAAATGTGTTTAGTAGTGTTTGTTGTTCCCAAACATTTCGCTGATGAACCCAGATGAACATTTATCCTCCTTCTCACATATAAAGCCTTAAATGGCCAAGCTCCATCTTATATCAGAGATCTGATTGTTCCTTATGTTCCTAACAGAGCACTTCACTCTCAATCTGCAGGTTTACTAGTGGTTCCTAGAATTTCTAAAAGTAGAATGGGAGGCAGATCTTTTAGTTATCAGGCTCCTCTCCTGTGGAACCAACTACCAGTTTTAGTCCGTGAGGCAGACACCCTGTCTACTTTAAAGGCTAGGCTTAAAACGTTCCTTTTTGATAAAGCTTATAGTTAGAGTGGCTCAGGTTATCCTGAGCTATCTCTATAGTTATGCTGCTATAGGTTTAGACTGCTGGAGGACATAGGGACCACTTTTCATCATTCTGCTTGATTCTATCACTATTCTCCCATTCTTCAGTATTGGTTAGTTAAATCTCTTAATGCTCTATGCTTTTTCTCATCATAGTAGCTTCATCTGGTCTGTTCCTGTTTGAGTGTGACTCCATCATGGAGAGAAATATCAGCTGTGCTGCTGCCATCAACACCTTGGTTTATAGATGTTGGAGCTTGGCCTATTTTTCAGTGTAGTCCTGTTTCTCTGACTGTGTCTAACTGAATGTTCTCGCTTTCATCCTCTGACATGGGAGCTGGCTTGGAGCTCGTCTGCCCGGCTGTGTGTTTCCAGGACGGGGCCGCCTGTGGAGCTGGTTGACAGTTGCCTTTTGTATCTATGCTTCTTTTTCTATGTCTGCTTCTGTCTCCTTGAACCCCAGTCGGCCTCAGCAGATGGCCGCTCACACTGAGCCTGGTTCTGCTGGAGGTTTCTTCCTGTTAAAAGGGAGTTTTTCCTCTCCACTGTCGCTACAAGCATGCTCGGTGTAACGGATTGCTTTTGGGTCAATGAGTCAATGCACTCAGCTGGTTTTCCTTATCTGTTTGAATATTCTCTGTAAAGTGCCTTTAGATTAAATGCGTTGTGAATTGGTGCTATATAAATAAACTCAATTGATAATTGAAATTGAATTTATTGTGCATTTCACAACTTAATGGTATCTTTGATATTTGAATCATGTATTATATAAATAAATTAATATTACATTTGTTTATTTCATGGTACATTTATTTATTTTAGTCACATTTATGTCTGTCATGACATATTTTGGCTCTCTGTATACCGCAGGAAACACAATGGTTGTTAAAACCTTCTTGTGTCCCTCCACCTGGTGTCTCATGACCCCAACACCCCAGTTTGGGAACCCCTGGGATCAACTTAAAATCAACAGTAGCTGATTAATTTGTAAGCGACCATATCAGTAATCAGTAGATGATGGTAATCACTTTAAGCCTACACTCAAGATAGTGACTCACTTTTAGAATAGAATAGTAATACATTACTGAAAACAATGAAACACACACGCTTCATAAATAAACAAGGCATACGAATCTAAAATAGCTAACAATAAAGAAAAATCAAACCTAATTGATGTTTTCTATGTTATTATCATTAGTAGTAAGATTAGTTTTAAACTAACGGAAAGAAAATAAAGTGAATGAGTCAATTTGCTAGGTTGAAGCCATCTGTTGCCTTCTGCTAAATAAGAACATGTAATAGAAATAAGAATTTTACAAAATAAGGTTTCTTTTTTAATTAAATAATTTAGTTTGATTATTTTATAGTTATTCATCCCCACACACAAACAGTAGCCATTTACAAGTCAAGCATCTTGAAAAAATACGTAACCTCTGCAAAACCTGCACACCGAGAACATCATAAAGAGTTTCATAACGAACTGAGTCTCAGTCAGTAAATGCACTAATGTGATTGGAAAGGACCGCTTGGAGGCAATATTTAATAAAATGCAATATTTTAGGCATTGTTGAATCAGAGGTGCTCACTCTATGTCAAGTAAAAGCACAAATACCTGTGTAAAAAAACAACTCTGTTCTATGTTTTACTTTGGAACAACAGTAAAATAAAATTTTTGCCCTAAATAATGCAAAATAATTAAAAAAAAACTCTTCTTAAAAAGAACAGTTCTATGCACAGAAATTGATTAATTTTCCTCTTTTATTGACGTGCTAGTGAAAAGGACATATAAAATACTAGTTTTGTTGTAAATCACAACGTAAGTCCCGAGTGAACAGCTTAATCCTTTTAGAGCTTCACTATTTACAACATTAAAGTTGCAGATAGCATCCAAATTGAAATATAATTTGTGAATATATGTGAATTTGTAATCAGGCCCCTGCTTAAAACCTTCTATGACTCTGTGGTGGCATCAGCCCTCCATCTAAGCTGGTGTCTGCTGGACCCCAGGAAGCGCAGAGCAGGAAAGAAAGAGACTGAAAAAGCTGGTGAGAAAGGCTGCTTCTGTCCTAGGCTGCACTCTGGACAGGAGGAAGTGGCTGAGAGGAGGGTATTGTGTACAAGCTTACATCCACCCTGGACAACACTTTTCACCCTCTGCACCAGACTGTAGAGGAGCTGAGCAGCTCCTTTACTGAAAGACTTTGTATGTTTGTTAAAAGGAGCGCTACCACAGGTCATTTATTCCTGCTGCAACCAGACTATATAATGCAACAGAAGGATATATGTATAATGGTCAATTACTATTTAATACCCTGTGCAATAACTTGTTCTTTATATTTGACACCCAGTGCAATAGCTATATATATAAATATCAATCTTTATAAATACCCATGTAAATACCATGTGCAATATAATCCTGCTATTAAATAAATAAATAAATAAAAAAGTTGTTGTATGTGGACATACTGTTTATACTGTCTATATCCTATGCACCTTTTTCTTCCTTTAGACCCCTTCTTCTTCTTCTCTTTTTGACTATTTCAGCTGATGTGATGAGTACATTTCCCCACTGTAAGATCACTAAAGTAAATCAATCAGTCAGTCCTCTGCCAAGTTTGCCAGTCTTTGTCCTGTTTATCCATGTTGCCATCAGTGTTTTTCTTTAAACAAACTGCTGTATTCTTGAATTTACCTCTAGTTTATTGTAGCTGTAACGTCATAATGTATCATTATCAATAGGTTTATATAGTTGTAAGAAAGTACCAAAAATATTTTTCTTATTTTTTCTTACTCAAATAAAGTACAGATACCGGAAAAAGCTGCTTTAAAAAGTGACTATAATAAATGTAAATATTTATAAATATCTCTGTGTGTGTTAAAACTATACCCTCCAGTAATGTATTAGGCCAATGGGGTGGATTTTCATTATAGATCTAACTGATTAAAAGCCTGAAGCTCGAGGATAGTACATATTTGTTTCCCACATAAACGCTTGTTTAGAAAAAACAAAACAAAAACAAGTTTATCCTAAACTATTCTAGATTTCTTTGGCTGGATGAAGCCGCTTCCGCCACGAGCTGCTCTGCTTGGCCCAACCTGGCAACCCGCGGCTCGGGCCGTAGAGCTGAAAAACTTGTTGTTGTCTGGTGAAAATGGCGTCAAACGTAGAGGCCCCGGAACGCTGGTATCTCGCCCTCCTTGGCTTTGCGGAACACTTCAGAACCTCCAGTCCACCTAAAATACGACTCTGCGTTCACTGTCTACAGGCTGTGTTTCAGTTCAAGCCTCCGCAAAGGATCGAGGCCCGGACGCATCTCCAGCTGGGCTCGGTTCTGTACCATCACACCAAGAACAGCGAGCTGGCCCGCAGCCACCTAGAGAAAGCGGTGAGGGGCGTTCGGTGTAGGAAAGAGCGGGGATGCGGCAGAGAAGCGGGCGGGGTGTAGGCCGCAGGCAGTGAAAACAACAAACGGCGGAAGCATTTAAAAAGCCGTTCATTCAGGAAGGTTACATTATTAAAGAGGTTCAAATAAAGTGTTTTTTTTTTTTGGTGAGAGACTTGAAGATGTTTTATATCCGGTTCAGCCTCTTTAAGGATTTGCTCTATATAAACTGCTTTTGAAATGTTCAGGTCTAAAATGTTAGCTAAACACACTTTGTCTGTTTTTGCAGTGGTTTATATCTCAACAACTTCCTCAATTCGAAGATGTCAAATTTGAAGCTGCGAGTATTTTATCGGAGCTCTTTTGCCAACAGGTAAGACAAATAACGACTTAATAACCTGATAACATGGTACATTAATGAGAGGGTCAGATGAAATTTTTACTTTCCAGGTTTTAACCAGCTCTTGTTTGAATGCGTTTAATGATTTTTGATGGTACATAGAGGGATTTTAAAATGTTAACTGCTTATATTTGTAATATATTTCCAGAATCTGGTGGACTCTGCTAAGCCCCTGCTTCGTAAAGCTATCCAGATTTCCCAGCAGACTCCATACTGGCACTGCAGGCTGCTGTTTCAGTTAGCGGTAGGTTTTCTGACTGCAGATGAATTGATTCCAGATTTTTGTCACTAATTTTCAGTCAGCAATTCTTTGCTTTTCCTTAACTTGGTGATCCTGTTCTGATTTGAAGTGTAGATGAAAGCAAAACATTGATTGTAGTGTTAATTCATGTATCCTTTTTAACTTAAAGTCATAGGGAAGTCATATTTAAATGTCAAATCATTCTGGCTTAAACATGTATATAAATGTACTCCTTATCAGGCTATATTGTACCAAAATTTAGAAAATTTCTATTTAAAAAAAAATATTATTTTTTTAATGTTCTGCAGGCCAGTTAGTTATACATCAGCCTGATCACCTAAATTCATCCAATCATATATCAACGGTCATCTGTCAATCAAATTTTTTCAGTCATAGCATATCTTGATTCATATGTCACAGCTAATATACGCAACGGTTGAAATAAGAATAATTTCTTTCCCATTGAGTTCCGTCCCAGTGTTCACAGGGATGGACGTCTGTATCTTCAGCAGGCGTAGAGCTAACAGCGTTGCGAGGCAAGGGCTCAAACATGTACGGCTGTAAGCCTTCTACACCAAACCAAGCTTCTGCCGCCCTGGCGTCCTCTTCCACAACATCTTCGTCCCCGCTTTCCTCCTCTAAATAAAAAATGGATGACGGAGGAGACTCATCCACGACCTCCGACACTAAACTCTCCTCCTCTTGCGTGTTTCCGCTGTCCATAGCGTTCCTTGACAGCGTCGTTTCTAAGTCACCAATTTAGTGCTACTTGGTCCCAATGGAATTTCCCATTGGGGACCTACTAGCACTAAGTTGCTAATTGGTTAGCAAGATGCTTCTGAGACACCAGCCACAACCAAACATGCTTACGAACCTTCCGCCACAACAACCCTTCCACCTTGATATCGACCAATCACTTTATTCACTCGTGTAAAGTCGTGCACCACTCGTGAGAATTCGGAAATGCAACGGTTGGAACAGCCGCCTCCCTACGATTTTAAATCTATATATTGTGTGTGGTAGTTTAGTCTGTTACTATTAAATAAATAATAATGATAATAATAATGGATGCATGCCCCAGTTGCCTTAGCAACCACTGAGAACTCCAAGGTGAGATATTAACTTATCCTTTATTGGACCGCCATGAAGAAGATGCACATGGTATGTTTAGATTAATGCTGAGTTATGTTAGAACTGTAATTACAGTCATATGTTTATATTACAATTTCTTTAAAAGTATTTATGACTTTTTTAAGGCTACACTTTAAAAAATGAAATTGTCTAGAGCCGTTTTAAACTAAATTTCTTTTTGTATACACTTGTATATACAAAAGGACTAAATAAATCTGTCCAAGTCTAATAACATTTTTTTTAAATAAGCAAAACTAAATTTACTACAAAAGTTGTAAACTTTATTAAGAATTTCATTTTTACATGTATTTGTGTACTAGAACAGGTTTATTTTAAAGAAATGCTCCAAGATACCAAACTGTCTTTCTTTGCCTCATTCAAAATCTACAGTTATGCATTATGTTATGTTAAAAGTATGTATGTAAAGGAGCTCAGAGCAATGTCTTCTTTAGTTTCTATTCAATATTTACATTAGCACCATAGGTAGCATTCAGCGTGTTACTCTGCATAAAGGCCAGAACACCCGGACTTTTTAATCTCTGATCCGATTTTATTTATTTTTTTATGTCCCACTGACTGAGTATAGAGAGGCTCCGTCTAGGAGCAAATCTTCGCAGAATATTTTCACTTCTGTCTCTGTGCTGTACACAAATGAAAACAATTTCTCACATTTGACTCGGACGGATTATGAATAGTTATAAAAAAATAAATAAACCAGTGGCACATTCTATAAAGAAAAGCCCCACTTAACAAGTCTTAGCAGCATCTCAGACCAGAGCAGATAGAGAATGTTCATATATTAAAAACATAATGAGATCTACGTCTACAGAAAAGAAAAACACAGCTATAAACGCAGTGGGACAGTTTCTATGCTGACTGAGGCAGAGAGGTGATTCTCAAAGAGAGATCTGCTCACTTTATCCAAGTTTTTCTTTCTTTTTTTTCATAAAGTGGTGAGACAGATACACTGCGCGTACCTGCTCTGTCTTTTTATTATTTCATTCATTCTTTTTGCACCAGTCTGTCCTACTTACTATATACGGGATGTCTGACTCCAAAACGGACTCATTCCCCGTGTGATTAACAGATTTTATTTTGTATTTTCCCCCAAAGCGGATCTGTTTTACTTTGTAACTCTCTTCCTGTCAGACCCATTAATTGCAGCTGAATTGCTGCATTTTCGGACTAAACTACACCTGTAGTCTATCTCAGTCGGACCTACACAGCCCCCTGCATAAAATCGTGTCGGATGTGATCATCCCCATTGACTTTCAATGAGCGCTAAACGCTACGACCTCGAGCAACGATTTTCTGTCGGATCGGACATAAAATCTGATTCGGTGTGTTCTGGCCTTATCTTAGATCAACAACAAAATAGTTTTGACTCAGTGTATTCATTTTTCTTTAGAAGCACGGCTGTGACCCCATAGAGAAGCAATATCTCTGATAGATGAAGAGGAGAGAAAAATACATTTTTATCACTTGGAACTTACATTATTTTCTCACTACCTGAATCAGCCATTCCTCAAACTATCCATCACCTTACAGAGTTCTGTTCCTTCAAAAAAGGGGGAATTTCTGACCCAAAAAGAAAAGGAGAAATCATCTCCATTTAAAAATGCCCATCCTGATCAATGCCCCAGCTCCTCTCTGACAACCCGAGTACAGGACAGATAATGAGCTGCAAACAAGCAGCAAGAATAAAATCATGTTGTTCTTGCAGCTGTGGGAATTCAACTTTTTTTTTATCTGAACTCATATCACTAATCGGAACCAGAAGAGTGAAAATGTCCGATTTCTCGCTCCAGCTGAATATTCTGATGGAGAAATGTTTCTTTTGAGTTGAAGAGCAGATTAGAAGGATAGCAGCTGTTTGTTTCCATTTGCTGCTGTCTGTATCTGGATGGTAACATTTTTTTCTCATCTCTCTTAGCAACTTCATACCCTGGAGAAGGACTTGGTGTCAGCATGTGACCTTTTGGGAGTTGGTGCCGAGTATGCCAGAGTTGTGGGTTCAGAATATACCAGGTAAAGCTCTCTGCCTGCTATAAGTTTAGCATGTTTAAACCTGCACCTAGTTGACAGGGTTGGAAAAAAGATTCCCAAAGCAAAATTATGATTTTCTAACTTTGATGACATGTAACGACACCCGTGGGGTCAGCTTCATTAATTTTTGGCTGTTTCACATTAGATGTTTAATAGAGAAACTTTTTCCTGCGGTTTTCTGTAAAGAAACTGGAAAGAAAGGGTTTTTGGAAGAAAGTCCTGGTGGTAATGGGTCATATTTTGGAGAACTGGGATAGTTCCATTGAAAAGTCAACCCTCTGTATCCACCAGGGTACATGAGGAGAAATCTTCATGAGAATACACACAGTGACACAAAACACTGTCTTGTACACTCAGGTTACACCGGCTTAATTTCTTATTCTTTTATTATTTCTGCTGTTCAGGCCCCCAAACCTCCCTGGTTTATAGATACACCTCAAGGTTATTACTGGATCTGGGCCTGCTTAAGGCTAAATATTCACCAAAAGAAACAGAACTAACTAGTAAATTTGAACTTCCAGTAGAAACTGTTCCTTCCGCCCGGGGAAAAAAAAGCAATTAAAAATCCGCCATCTGAAAGAAACTTCCAACCCCGGTTTTCAGGATCTATTTGTGAACTTTATAACAATTTTCATAGTTAGATATGACAGAATAGGACATATGTAGCTTAACATGTCAGTTTTAATTAGGGCTGCAACTAATGATTTTGCTAATTTATTGATCTGTCAATAATTTTTCCTATTAATTGATTAATAATCAGATAGCAAAAGCTTCCTTACAGAAGGCTTTGTGTGAAATTAAACCAGGTGATGCTAAAACTTTTTCATTTCAGGAGTTCTGATGGAGCAGAGTGATAGAGAATAAATTTTTAATATTAAATGCAAAAAGCATTAAAATTTTTTTTACAATTTTGATATATTTACTCCTCTAAGTGGGTCGCTCTGTCAGCTAAAGGCATATTTTACAGTCTCTATACTCCATTTAAAGATTAATCGATTACAAAATTAATTCATGATTATTTCAATAATCGATAAATCCGATTAATTGTTTCAGCCCTAGTTTTAATGACATATACTACATATATTGTTAATCTGGGAAACTGCAAACTACTTTGTCATCTTTATCAAGAACGGACCTTTTACCTGAAGCTGTTCAATTATATAAACTTATAAAAATAACCAACTTCCTGCTTTCTTATCGAATAAACATTTTAAAGCTACTCAAAGCTTTTTTATATGAAAAATTCCTTCTAATTATTATAAATTGAAAGTATTTTTTTATTATGTGTTTGTGTAATCATTTGATCAGGAAAACTGATGTATTCTTTTTATTTTTTAGGGCTTTGTTTCTTCTTAGTAAAGGAATGGTAAGTTTTCTTTTTTTACCCTTTCATCAGCTGTTTTCTGCGCCTCGTATCATTTGTGTAAACATATAGAATGAGTGTGTGTGATTTGCTTCAAGGAATTATGGTCTATAGTTTGACATATTTAAGCTGTTTGTTCTGACCGGGAAATAATTTGTGACTCTCCAGTTGCTGCTGATGGAGAGGAAGCTGGGCGAGGTGCATCCTCTTCTCAGTCTGTGCGGGACCATAGTTGAAAACTGGCAGGGAAACCCCATCCAGAAGGAGTCGCTGAGAGTCTTCTTCCTAGTACTACAAGTCACACACTACCTGGATGCTGGACAGGTAGGGCATTCAGCCTGGAAGGGCTGGAACAGAAGTTAGGCTGGCAAAGATATTTCCAGCATTTCTGGAGCTATCTGGGGATGAAAGCGTCCAATTAGAAAAAGCAGCTCCATTGTTTGGGTTTTCCTCAGGTAAAAAGCGTGAAGCCGTGTCTGAAACAGCTGCAGCAGTGCATTCAGACCATCTCTACACTCCAAGATGACGAGATTCTTCCCACCAACCCCGCTGACCTCTTCCACTGGCTGCCAAAGGAGCACATGTGTGTTCTCGTATATTTGGTAATGCTCATTTTTTTATTCTTCCATATTTACACAAAGCTTCTATAAATCTAAAACCCTGGTTTTACAGCTTTTGACTCATACTAAAACCTCCAACGTTACACCAGTTAGGCTAACAGATTATATGCCTAGTATTATTCAGAGGACAACTAAGCTAAAAATAATAACTGTTGTTACACTTTAGTGAAAGAACCTCGTTACAAACAGTGGTGGACGAAGTACTCAACTGTAGTACTTGAGTGAAAGTCTTGATATTCATTAGTTAAATCTTGCTCTACTACAAGTAAAAGTTACTTGATCAATAATCCACTCAAGTTAAAGTATTGAAGTACTCACTTTTTTTAAATACTTAAGTATTCAAAAGTACATGTATTTTAAAGTACCTAAGTATTTAAAAATAATCTAATTTTCTAATCTCAGTACATTCCTGTATTACTTTCAGAATAATTTTAAAGAAACTTGTAACTTTAATAAACTTTAATAAACCACCTGATGTATTGAAGCGTAGAACCAAGTGCTACAGATTCTACACCATCTGAAAAGAACTTCAGCATAGAAATACAACAGAAAATAAGGACAGCTATTTTGATTATTTCTTATTTAAAAAAAAAAAACTAAAAAGAAAACAGTCTTGATTCTCTGCACACTTTCACTATGAAATAGAGGACTAAGCTAGAATCTATTACCACAAAGAAACTATAACTCTCACTTTAGAACTCATCCTACTGAACAACTGGGCCACAGCAACAACAAACACCTTAATAAAATTATAAACTACTAATGATGTCTGCGCTGAGTTTCTCCCATTTGAGGAACGTCATTAAACTCTAAAACAGATGTGGCTTCTAGATTTGGAGAAAAACAGCAACAGCGGTTTATAAAGCTAAGATGAGCCAAAAGGAACAAGGAACTAGCAGCTTCCTGGAAATGGAGTGAAAGTTATAAATACCCCCAGAAAAGGACTTGAGTTAAGTAAAGATACTCAAAGTTCTAAAGTACAGTAATCAAGTAAATGTACTTTGTTACTTTCCACCACTGGTTACAGACAAATGTGCACAAAAACCCAGATCCTGCAAAGACAGAATGAGTGTTACTGATGGGCTCTGGGCTCTAAACATGGGGGCTAAATAGATTCCAGTTATAAAGAGAAAACAATAATTCCTTTGATTTTGATATTGGTACCAGTTTATGTGAGTTTATTAAGATAATCTTAAATCATCACAACAGATTCCATATAGTTTTCACATTTTAGCGCCCCATTTAACATCTACTGTTGATCAGCTTCTAGTGGGAAATATTAGGTGGTCAAGATTAGGATCTTCTGTGGGAGACTTAAAAGAAAACTGGGAAACTTTAGTTGGTAAAAGTCAGTTTTGGTTGACCTTTGGTTCTCCTCTAAGTGAACCTAAACCTCTCGGTTTCTCATCTGTGACAAACTTCTCTCACTAATTTTTATTTTCCAGGTCACGGTAATGCACTCCATGCAGGCGGGCTACCTGGAGAAAGCCCAGAAGTACACAGACAAGGCTCTGATGCAACTGGAGAAACTCAAAAGTGGGTTCAACAATAGCCCATGGCTAGCTTTTAGCATATTGCTCTTTAAAGTGTTTAAAACGTGCTAAATAATGCTAATTCCATCCCTAATCTCCTTTATCAGTGTTGGACTGCAGTGCCATCCTTTCTACCTTCCAAGTTATTCTGCTGGAGCACATCATCATGTGTCGACTGGTCACAGGCCACAAGGCCACGGCTTTACAGGAGGTACCTTGGTTTATCCTGTGCTCATCACTTTTTAGTTTGCATTTCAATTATTGCTATCATGAAAAGGTCATGTTGAACAATGAACTTGGAGTTAAATTAAAATGTCTAAATAAGGAGCCAGACTTCTTGATGTAAAGAAATTAAAACTTTGACTTACTACCCGTCCAACTCGTTCACAACATGCCCTGCTGTCACCCAAAGGGCCTCAAATGTCCTCAAACTTCATCTCTTGTTTTAGCCCGATTTACACTGCGTCTGGTTCTCCTCAGCTGCTACTTTTGCACCAAGTAGCAGAGGTGGGAGATGTGGAGCCATCAAGGCTGAATCCAAAACCGCTCCTCAACCACTAACCTTTACGCTGCAAAAAGCCTGCACTGATGCAGACTCTATTTAAGGTCTGAAAGGTTAATTCTACCCTACCCACTATGAGCTTTGGGACGGTCCTTAACATGGCGGACCCTCATCAGGAGCGTGCAAATGTAGGGTTAGTGCTTAGGGGCTGTTTAGGATTCAGCCCTAGCCATCTCCATGTCATGTGTTTGTTCTGCCAGCCACTGAAGAGGGTGAGTCCAATCTGCAGAGTGAAATAATTGTGCAGGTTGGATTCACCCGGTTCAGTGGTTGGCAGAACAAATACATGACATGGAAATGACTCGGGGACTACATCTCCCACCTCTGCTAAATCCCAAGCAGTCAATGAGAACAAACAGCCTCTGCATGTGGAGCCATGTGGATGGACCCAGCAGTAAATATACAGATGTCACAATTCTTTAAAACTGCGTATTTTCCACTGCATCTGGGGTTTCGTAATATTTCATTATAGACTGCCAGATCATTTACTAAAAACTTAACTAGACTGTGTCTAGCAAAGTCTTTTTTTTTTCTAAAAAAGACATATTTTGCATGTTGACCAAGGAAGTCCAAGCCTGCAGCAAAGCATGGCGGTGGCTCCATTATACTTTGAGGCTGTTATTCTGCAGCTGACCTGGAGCCTCGGTCAGAGCGGAGGCAGCTGTAAACGGTTTCAAGCGGGTCTTTTCCTCCAGGCCTGAGTCTGATCAGAACGCCGTGATCTGCTCTGCACAGGAAATGCTGTCATTTACCGACGGGTTTGGAGCTTTGATTAAAAGGAGAGAACAAGTATTGACCAGTGAAGATGTAGCACATTCTGTTCTAGTAAAAACATAAAATCCAGCCATGTTTACTCTTTTAAGAGATTTCACTTTATTTTGCAAACAGGTAAAGCTCTTTTTTTTGCACATCTCTCTCTTTAGATTTCACAGGTGTGCCAGCTGTGCCAACAGTCCCCCAGATTATTCAACAACCACGCTGCTCAGCTACACACACTATTAGTGAGTATATTAAATCAAACCTTTCTTTACTTGTGCTTTTGTTACAGCTGCTAAACTTTAAAAGAAACTGGGAGGTCTCCTTGTGATAGGGCAGTGGTACCAGCTTTCAAGCTGAGGGAAAAGACGTTGACATTATTTAAAAATGAACAAGGTTTCAATGTTAAATTCAGAATGAAAAAGCAATTAGCAAAATCCCACAGAGTTGGATTACTCGGCCCCATTGGGCTGATTGGCACCAAGCTCTGTTTTACAGCTGTGTTACTCAATGCTGCTCTATAAAGTTCTACTTTCTGGGAAAAAGTGTTTTCTCCCAACTCACATTCACCCTCAACAGGATTCTGGAGGGTGAATTGGAGTTTGCCAAACCAGTCTACATGTGTTTTGTGGATCTGGAGAAGGCATTGGACCGTGTCCCTCGCCGGGGGGAGGGTTGTCCTGTGGGGGGTACTCCAGGAGTATGGAGTACCGGGCCCTTTAAGGATTGTTAGGTCTCTGTATAACCTGTGTCAGAGCCTGGTCCGCATTGCAGACAGTAAGTCGTACTCGTTTCTGGTGAGGGTTGGACTCCGCCAAGGTTGCCCTTTGTCACCGATTCTGTTCATAACTTTTATAGAAAGAAATTCTAGACGCAGCCAAGGTGTTTAGGGGATCTGTCTTGGTGGCCTTCGGATTGCATCTCTGTTATTTGCAGATGATGTGGTTCTGTTGGCTTCATCAGGGCGGGATCTACAGCTCTTACTGGAGCGGTTCGCAGCCGAGTGTGAAGCAGCCGGGATGAGGATCAGTGCATCCAAATCCGAGCCCATGGTCTTGAGCCGGAAAAGGGTAGAGTGTCTTCTCCAGGTTGGGGAGGATGTACTGCATCTTGGGCTCTTGTGCACGAATGAGGGGAAGATGGAGCTTGAGATCAATAGGCGGATTGGTGCAGCGTCTGCTGTGAAGCGGGCCCTGTACCGGTCTGTTGTGGTGAAGAGAGAGCTGAGCCAAAAAGCAAAGCTCTCAATTTACCAGTTGATCTACGTTCCTACCCTCATCTTTGGTCATGAGCTTTGGGTCATGACTGAAAGAAAGAGATCCCGAATACAAGCGGTTGAAATGAGTTTTCTCCATAGTGTGTCTTGGCTCTCCCTAAAAGATAGGGTGAGGAGATCAGTCATCCGGGGAGGGCTCAGAGTAGAGCTGCTGCTCCTCCACATCGAGAGGAGCCAGTTGGCTCGGGGATCTGATTAGGATGCCTCCTGGACGTCTCCCTGGTGAGGTGTTCCAGGCACGTCCCACCGGAAGGAGGCCCAGGGGGAGACCCAGGACACGCTGAAGGGACTATGTTTCTCGGCTGGCCTTGGGATTCCCCCGGAGGAGCTGGCCCAAATGGCTGGGGAGAGGGACGTCTGGGCCTCCCTTCTGAAGCTGCTACCCCCGCGACCCGATCCTGGATAAGTGGAAGAAGATGGATGGATGGTTGTTTTGTTATGAGGAGCTGTAGGAATGTAGGACATCATCATGCCCAACTATGAAATCTAAAACGTTAGCAGAAATGAGGCACTCACAGTAACACCCACGGTATGCCCTACTCCAGGAGCCTCTAGTCACCAACTGACTTCTCTGTAAAATTTACAACAACCTGACAGATGATGAAGACTTGTTTTCATACAGTTGTTGTGCTTTTCATATTTTTGATTAGTTTTTAAAACTGATAAAACCATCATTTGTGTTATCAAAGAGAGCATTTTGGAAGTAAAACCTGTTTTTAATCCCTAAAATAACTGACCTCTAATCTCATCACAGGGTTTGTACTGCATCTCTGTGAACTGTATGGACAACGCAGAAGCACAGTTTACCACGGCGTTGCGGGTCAGTGCAAAAGGATTTCCCATAACAGTGGAACTGACTTCATCGCATCCTTTTTATTGAGCTCTGTTTGTTCTGTATTCTTGTCGGTAAGTTGGTGTCTCCGTTGCAGCTCACCACGCACCAGGAGCTTTGGACTTACATTGTAACCAACCTGGCCAGCGTTTACATCAGGGAAGGAAATCGACACCAGGAGGTAAGAAAGGAATCGTTTTATGCTTATAGATTAGATCATCTAAATGGGACATTTTTCTTTAAACAATGTTTTATGTGAATATTTTAAATCTGGTTTCTATATCAGTTGAAGGAAACCTTGAAAGTAAGAAGTTTTGCTTTGTGAAATGGTTGCCTTTACACTTTTCTGCCACCAGATGGCACTGATGAACGTTTTACTTTGTTAAAATCTAACCAAACTAAAAAATTTTGTATTTCAAAAATCATATAATAAAATGAATAAAGCCGATGACTTTTTCATAATGAAAACAAAATATTAAACCCTATTAATATGCTTGTGTTTTGTTTTTCTTCTCCAGCTATACGGCTTATTGGAAAGAATAAACCCTGATCATAACTTTCCAGTCAGGTGAAAATTGTTTAATGTAGTTTTTCCCATTAAGATACTGTTCTTATAATAGTTCTATTCTCTATGCTTTTATAAACTGTAAACTTGTGTTTTTATTCAGCTCTCACTGCCTCCGTGCTGCAGCTTTTTACATAAGGGGACTCCTGTCCTTTTTTCAGGGACGCTACAATGAGGCAAAGTATGGGGACCGCAAAGTTTTATGCTCTTAAATAATAACCTGTCCACAGATCCACCTCGCTCTGACGCTGTGTTTTGTCTTGCAGACGTTTCCTTAGAGAAACCCTGAAAATGTCGAACGCTGAGGATCTGAACAGACTCACAGCCTGCTCTCTGGTTCTGCTGGGCCACATTTTCTACGTACTGGGCAACCACAGAGTAAGAGCAACCCCTTAGCAAGCATTTCTTATACTCCAAAACCGCTTGTTTACTATTTTTTTATATGAAAGGATTAGAATGGGGAAAAATGTTGCGGTACAATGTCATCACGGCAGAATGTTTAGGTTTCATCTAAAGTCAGTTGTCGTTTTTATTTAATTACCGTATTTTCCAGACTATAGAGCTCACCTCACTATAAGCTATAAACATAGGGGGTGTGTTGGCCTAGTGCTTATAGCAGTGCACATGTGCTCTGAGAAGGTTGCAAGGACCCGGTTTGATCCCCACAGCCTGCACCCTGGGTCCCTGAGCAAGACCCTTTACCCCCCACACTGCTCCCTGGGCACCACACAATGTCAGCCCGCTGCTCCCCACGGGGGTGGGTTAAATGCAGAGATAAATTTCTCCAGGGTGAGATCAATAAAGTTCAATTATTATTATTAAGAAAACGAATATTAAAAACTGGAAACTTGTATATATAAGCCGCTGATATCTACTGAACTGTCTCCCACCAATCCTGTAGGGGGAGCTCTACATATAGCCCCTGGAGTACTAAGAAGAATGCTAGCTCCCTTTAGCTTGATGGCTCCCAGCAGTAAGAGCTCCTACTGAAAGATGGGGCTTCCTCAGCTCTTTATTTCTGCTCTGCAGGAGTTGAGCTCAGTCTCTTCATTGGTTTGGCAGCTTTTTTTATTTATTTTTTATTTAGAAAGACAGATTTCCATCACATCAGTAATCACAGCTTCATCGATTTAATATTATAACTGAGGATATAAGCAGAAAGTCCAAGTGATTTTGTCCATGTTGCCTTTCTGGTATTTTTTACAGAATATCACTAACTTAATTGTAAAGATAACAAAATGAACAGAGTTAAACAGTAATGGGGATTGCAACACCTCGAGTAATAAAAAACACAAAGACATAAGAGGGCAAGACATATTTCAGAAGAACAATCAAATGAAGTCGGATCTAATTGGTTTCGCCCCATTAGAAATTAGCCCCATATTCTCTCATTTCCAACTTTGATTTCACCATCTAAGGGTTAGGAAAAATCCAGAAAAGCTGCACCTTCTTATAAACCACATGTTTCAAAGTGTGGGGAAAAAAAACTATCTGTTTATAGACCAGAAGATACGGTATATTCAGCCTCTGGAATTAAAAACTGAGAGTTTATTCTGTCATGTCTCTAAGCCGAGGGAGAATAGAAGCGCCAATCAGATGTCTTTACATTTTTGGACTTGCTCATACAAAGTTCAGCTGATTCAGATTTTTTCCCTTAAACTTTGATAGAAATGAATCTCAGAACGAGCAAACGAATTTACCAGCTTTCCTTTCATGAGCAGAAACATTGATTTATATTAGGAAAAGAGATTTTGTCCCGTAATGTGTGAGACTAGAGTTTACTGTTATGAACAAAGAGGTGACAGTAAATAAAAAAAAAATCTCTAACATCTTATTTATTTTTGTTATCAGTAAACTATGTATTTTATTGCATAATCTCACTGATAATAAAAATGGAGGCTTAATCACTCAGTAAGGTTGTTCACACAGAAAGGACTGCTTTTATATATGATGCATTCACTGTTTGGAAAAGGATCGGATTTTTGTATTTCCCAATTTCAACTGGAGTCTTTATACTCCAGTTAACGATTAATCAATTACTGAATTAGTTAATTATTATTTAAATAATCGACTAACCGGATTTATTGTTTTGTAGTTGTGATTAAAACTTGTATGCCTCTGATTTAAAAATAGAATTTTTCTAAATGCAATTAATTGCCCAGCCATAGATGAGCTTCATGAATCCTGTTAATGTTTGCATTGCTCTTAATTAAATTTGAGACTAAAAATAATCAGTTCTTTTTTTTTAAAAGTATAAACTGTTGAACAACGGACAGAAAAAGAAATATCAAGACGACAGGAATTAAGTATTTTGCCAAGGATTTTTATATGGGTAATGCTTACATTATTTCCACTAGGATTTGTACTTCAGTTTGAATCAATGGTGTCAGATCTTTTAGATAACCTCAAATAAAAGAAAAAGTAAAATACCCCAAAATGCTTGTAAAACGGCTGTTTATTGTCATGTTGAAATGGATCAGGATTATGTTCCAGTTGACCCACATTAGTAAAGAATTGTTGATTATAAAAACCTCTGGTGGGAGTTAGTGGTCAGTTATCTAACGATCCTAGAGGATGACCCCTCCCCCTAAAACATCCTGTCTTCCAGGCAATGAAATTTTAATTGCTTGAAGCCTTGGACTCAAGATGAATATATTAATATATCTAATAAATCATTCAGTATTTGCAGGCATCTTCTTGCTAAACATGATTACAGGCTCTTTCCCCCGTTTGTGATCGTTACTAAATTTGATCGTCATAGTTCTGTGCTTTTGTTTAAGATGCGCTTTAATCAGGACACTTAACTCTGATTTTAAAGGATGTTTTTATATCCCCTTTTAGGAAAGTAACAACATGGTTGTACCTGCCATGCAGCTGGCCAGCAAAATCCCTGACATGTCTGTGCAGCTCTGGTCTTCAGCGCTGTTGAAAGGTATGCTTTTCATTTTCCAGAGCTTTACACCATCACCACCAGGTTGTGCATCATGCATTTGTGCTAAAAATCCACTCTGCTGTGCTTGCAGACTTGAACAAGGCCCTTGGAAACAACATTGAAGCCCATGAGGCTGCACAGATGCACCAGAATTTCTCCCAGCAGCTGCTGCAGGACCACATCGCCGCCTGCAGCCTCCCTGAACATAACCTCATCAGTGTACGTGAAGCTTCAATTGTCGCCTTTCAACTTTGCTTCTTTTTAAAAATCTGCTAATTTGCTTCATAAATCAATGCTGTTTGGGTTTTCAACATATTTCTAATGCTGCAGTTCCACCATTTGTTTTTTTCCAGTGGACAGATGGCCCCCCTCCTGTCCAGATCCAGGCCCAGAACGGTCCCACCACGAGCCTCGCAAGCCTGCTATGAAGAACCCACATGATGCATGCAATTGTAGCTGGTAAATTACCACAAGCAGCGATTTGATGCCTAAAAACCTGCTATCCACAACACTGTAGCTTAAAATAAATCTTAACAAGCGACCGGTTGGACATTCACTTTATTTGCTTCAGAGGATTACTTCCGATTGCCTGCTTGTATTTTTATTTTTTTTTTTGTTCTAAAGTTATCAACTCATAACACTCTGATGGCGTGGACTGTGGGGGGGCAGGATCCCGGTGGGACTCCTGGTTTAGGAGGACGGACACATAGCAATGTATAAAAGTTTCATTGCCTCAGATATAGGGATATAAGTTTGTCAGGATTATTTTTTATTTCCATATCTTGGAAAAGATCCAGTTAGATAAGGGGCAGTAAAAATATGTAGAAGAAATTAATTTATTCATGTTGCTATTTTTGTAACTGTTGATAAATATTTTACATCTTGCCTTTTTTTTTTGTATGAATGCTGTTTTTCTCTCCCATGTTTGGATGTTACTAATGTGGACGCCCTGTGCTATAGTCTCTCAGCTGGGTCGCCTATCTTACATTTTTGATGATTCTTTTGCACAAAATCCACAGTAGGAAATATAGACCTGTAACTTATCTTATATTCATTTGAAATGTTTCATAGCAAAGACAAAAAAGCAGCATATGTTGTTTTGATGCACAATCCACTGTGTTTAGGAGATGCTTTTAAATACTAGTAGAATTTATCATATTATCACTAATACCCTTTAAAGAGTACACATTTTCTCATGTATTTGTTTTAGGTTTATTTCTTGCTATAGTTTTTTTTTTTTTCTTTCTGCAAATCAGATTTTTTTTTCCCCCCAGACATTGAAAAAAATATATATATTTTATTGTCCTAATTTTTCTTGATAGTCCTACTAATTGATCTTTTCATGGTTTGTTTGTATAAATTTACCACTTGTTAAACCTTTTATTGTACAGTGACATTTTCTAAATTCAATTTAGTAAAGTGTGGTATGTATTAGTTTAGCTAACCTATGTAGGTATCCCATGGCTTGGTATTTAAAGCACTGTAAGAGATGGACATGCAGTTTAAGCTTCAGTACTAGCCATATTTTATACAATGCCTCTGTTTTTAATTCCTAACATTGTTTTCAATGATTTTTCCAATAAAAAACATGATTTAAATTAGTCAGTTTAATGATTTACTTATCCTTCTGCTGTTGTTCTTTTGTAGTTTTTTTGGGTGAATATACTTGTTTCCTTATTTCAGAGGTATGGGGTCCATCCTCATTTGAAATATGCAGACTCATCATGTGCAGCTTTTGAATGAAGGGGCACATTTCATTGTTATGATCTCATCTGGAATGTATTTAACTTTTAGTATACGCAAAGAGGGCAAATCAGTTCTGCAACTCTTGGTTTCAGAAACGTGTTTCCCAGAAGTGTCAGGTGGGCATTTATCATTAAAGCTTTTTTAGTTTGCTTGTAAAATCTGTCAAGAAAACAACTACTGGATAGACACAACTCTTGGATTTATGGGGCAGTGTCAAGAAGAGAGCAAAGATATTTATCTTTTGGAAATAAAAAACAAAACAAACAAACTATGATCTAATGAAACCAAAACGTAACTTTCCGTCTTCACAGATAATGCTGCTTGGGAGGAAAAATATTGGAAATTTTTTAAGCAAAACTATCAAAGTTTAGACATCCTGATAGGAAATATGTCAGGTTCCCATTTTTCTTACAGCTAGGAATAATCAAGTTGATAGTTAAGCCATTCCGTGACCAACAGTCTTGTGATTAGGCCTGCAGCAGATTATTTTGAAAATCGATTAGTCTGTTGATTATTTGTTTGATTAAATCAATTAATAATCGGATTGTCAAGGGCTCCTTAAAGGTACAGTGGAGGATTTTTTAAAAGACCTGCCCTGTCCACTTAAAAAAAATAAAATAACATGCACAACCCTGTATCCACTCCCGAGATGGGAAAAAACTATTAAACGCGTATGAGAGCGTGCACGAGCCCATTTCTGTTTTAAAGTTGCTGTTTGCACTGCTCATACAAGCTTTCTTTCCAATAGAAGATTTGCAATTTTTCCACTATCAGACTCTCCACCAGTAAGTGAAAATGGGGACCGGCACATAGGACGGCCTTACGTAAACATATCACAATAGTGACTGACAATCAGTTGGACCACTTATTTTGATGATCCACCTGAAAAAAGATTTTATACAGAATGAAACCAGGTGAAAATAAAACTTTTTGACTTGTGGAGTTCTGGATGGAGCATATTGACAGGAGAAAAAGTTTTTTTTTTTTGTAAGTGGGTCCCTCTGTCAGCTAAAGGCATGCCTTACAGTCTATACTCCAGTTAATGATTAATAATCGATGACTATATTAGTATTTCAATAATCCGACTAATTGTTTCTGCCCTACTTGTGATGTTGACTGTTTAGGTCACTTGGAATCCTGAACGCGGTGAAGCTAGATTTACACCAAGTACTAGAAGGCAATGGAAAACCCCAAGTTGTTTTTAGAGGACTAAAAACTAAACTTTTTAGAGGACTAAATGAAAGTTCAGTTTAATAAAGGAGTGGGAAAGACAGACAGCTGCCATGAAATTGAGAGAATCTGTGGCAAAACTTGGAAAATGACGTTGGCAGGTTTTCTCCAAGTCCAATTCTATTCAGTCTGACCTATATTCAAAAATGAATGAGCATAAAGCCTTTACATGTGGTAGCTGAAACAATTCAACGATGTTGATTGAAACTTGGATTTCACAGAAGAGGATTAATTTACTGCCAAACGCCTGACCATATTTATAGGTGACTTAGATGCCTTCATTCAGAAGGGGTACAAGAAGTCTGATTCAGCAGGCCTACTTATCTGCATCAACTATAAACACTAAGTAAGCAAAGAGGGAAACATTTTAAACTTTTCTACAAAAATTATATAATTTAATGCCTTGATGTTAATGCATTCCAAAAGTTTTACCGGTTATGACTGTTGTATTACTTAATCTAAAATAAAATAGAATGACGGATAAAAAAATAATTAATTCAACATATGCTCTTAATACCAAGGAGTCCTACATTAAAAGTGAGTAAATGTTTGTAGTAAATATCTCAATTTAATGTCAGCGCATTGGCTTAAGTCCCTCTCCTAGGTTACTTCCGTAAAGTCGTTCCAGAATACTTTTTTTTTCTTCTATCGCAGTACTTATAATTTCCGAGGTGTTTATGAACGCAGCATGACGCCGCCTGTGGTGGCTCATTACATTATCTGGCAACCGGAGTGGCAGCGGACAGAAGAGAGGGGATCCCCGGGATTTTTTTACGCCAAAGCCTGCTAAAATACTGACGCCAAATAAGTGAAAACCGCGGGGGAACTCGACCCGGCTCCTCCTTTATACTCCGTAAGTTCATGAAACTTTATTTCGTTGTCCTGTAATCTTATCCGAGATCATAATTTCCAATTAAAACGTGACGATGACGGAAGTTTTTTTTTCCCTGTCGATGTTAGCTAATGCAAGTTAAGCTAGCTAGCATAGCTTGCTGTCCGCTAACGTGCAAGGTAACAGTTTGTGTGCCGTTCAGCTCCACACATACACCTACCTAGTTCGAGCTGCCAGGAGCAAAGCCTCTAAAGTGAAACAAAATAAAACAAACTTTTCCCATCAAACTTGTTTTATCCTACACCAGCAGTAGTAAATTGTACCATTTATTTAACTTATTCCCACATTTAAAGGCTAAAATCATTTGGTCAAAATGACATTTTTCTGTGTAATTAGCGCTCAATTATTCGTGAACATCCAGGGACTGTTTGTGCAGACCAGAGAATTAGCGTTAGCAGGCTAACTTAGCACGTTAGCTCGTCTTGAACTACCCCGCTGCTCCCTGAACGGGGGTCGGTTTCATTGTCTCTTTAGTGTATCGCTATTTGAAAGCACAGAGATACCCCGACTTGATTGTATGATAATATATCACTTCTTAAAGGGGTACAGACTCTCGGTTCCCAGCTAGTATCCCATCTGACCATCGATGGCTATTGTGCACTGGTAGCTGGATTTATGTAGCCACTGGGTTTGTAGCCGGACAGATGGACAGGTTGTTAGGAACCCAAGTTAACGTTAGCATCCGATAGCTTGTTGTTGTTGATGGGTTAGTTGGATACAGACAGCCGCTTTTCCGGGCTTAAGTGGCGACACTTAAGTTTATAATCAGCACTACTATTGTTGTCAGCAGGTATTTATACGTACATATTATCTTTAAATGATGAGTATGTGCACTTGTGCCTTAAGAAACCATTGATCTCATAACTTTGTCAGATTAGCTCAAGCGTGAAGAGACTTTATGGAGGCGTAATGGTGGACGATTGTGCCTTGGTCGGTGTGTTTGTCCACAACAGCTCAGTAGCAATCACCCACGCTCAGGAGCTGTTCAGTAAGACATCTAAATGTCTACTTTTGTTTTTTAAGAAAATCATGTATCTGGAACATAAGTGAAGATATACTGTCAACCTTTCAGGCATAATTATCTATCTCTATAGCTGCACTTGTTAACCTTCCCATATTTGGAAGCATTAATCTCAAAAGAGACATACCTTATAATAATAACATTATTATTGTTATTTTACCATTCCTTTATTAATCATGTGTTTGTTTTTTTTTAGATCCCTTCAGTAAGTCTGAGTCTTTCTTGTTGGTGTAAAACCTGTAGGTCCCTGAATGCTCCATAAGAGCTCATGTCAGTTTTGTATTTGCCAGAGTTTTGTCAGATGAACAGCAGTCTGCTTATCGCTTTCTCTTCTGAGCAAGTGTCCTCTATTTAGATCAAGCAGGCAGTTGGCACCCTTGGCTGGTGAAAGAGGACATGTGTCGCTTTGCATTTTATGATGCATCTTGGAGTTGCCTAAGGCAGAATGCCTGTTATTAAAAAAAAAAAGGGAGGGGAAAAAAAACTCCCCTGAGAGTGATGTAACTATTCAGGCATGACTTCTGATACTCTGTTTATTCATCTTGATTAGAAATTGAACCTGCAGATATGTTTGTATTGTTGACCAATAATTATTTACTACACTTATTTTCAGGGTTATTCACGCTTGATGTTGTTGTTTGACTTGGATCATCCCACCCCCCCAAAAAGGAAAAAAAAAACATTCACATCCCTCTAGCTTTTTAAACACAAAGTAGTTTCTCCGCCATGAAAAAGAATAGATTAACAATTTGTTTTGTAAAACATGTAAATATTTTCATGCATTGCCATTTTCCTTTTTACTCACGTTTCCACAAATCACAATAAATACACTATCACCATTGTGAGTCGTGGTGGTGGCAGCATAATGATGTGTGGAGGCTAACAGCTATGGTAGGTTGGAGCTTCGTACAAGGCAGTCCTGTTTAAAAAAAAAAAAAAAAGAAGCTGTTGTTGCTGATTGCCCCTTTCTAGTAGTACAGTTTCCCGAAACATGGGTCAGATCTACATTTAAAGCATTTTTGGTAAGAGATGGCCGATTTTTTTCCCCAGTGGCAGCAGCAGCCTCTCTCTCTGAAGCATCTTTCCCTCTGAAATTAGTGGATTAACATGGATTTTTCAAACACGAGTCGACAAACTACATACTGGCATGTGGCTCCCTTCCCATTGACAAAAAAGCCAGGTCTGACACCCCCCTGGCCATGAATCTCTCTCAGTTTCACCATGTTCGTTGAATATAAAGTGAGTTCTTCTGGCTCATTAGATCAGACGCCACTGGCGCGGTGTGTTTACGTCCATACGTTAAGCTCTTGTGAGGTACAAGTTAGCGGGTCGGTGGGTCTGATAGTCCTACTGCATTCCAATCGCCGATGTTAACCCGAGTCGTTTGACCTGAGTTGACACTGGTCAGTTAGCCGATCCCACTGTCACGAAGAGCCGATTGTTTTCGTGGCTTAACAGGTTTCTCAGCCAGTGCGAAAAGATTATATGACTGAGGTTTAACAATTGGTTGGAAGTTTTTATGATTTGTATGTTTAATTATACACTATTAATATCCATTATGTTCTACAGCAAACATTGCAACTTCTTAAGATGCAACCCACCGTTTTGACATCTGCAGCTTAGCAATAATTTTAGACTTTTGTAGAATTTATTCCAATATTGGTATCCGATAACTAATTTTTGCAGATATATTTTCCTACTCTTTGGACCCTGGAAACGTACTCACTTGCATGACTTTGCTTTTACGCATCAGGTAAACATCCTGCAATCCGATGCTATGTAACTATCAGTGGCACATGCCCAAAAAAAATATCACATAACACACCCACCCACCACCAATCATGTACACAAATAGCAACAAAGTGGAAACAAATATGGGTTATTTATGGGCCAATATTTACATAAAATACTTATATGGATATTTTAAAAAGGACTTGTATATTGTGCATCTCTAATATGTTTTATAAGGGTGCTCCGATCAGGATTTTTGGGGCCGATCACCGATTGCTGAAAGCAGTATTGGTTGATACCGATCACCGATCACTGGGTCTATCTGAAGCCTTCCTTTTATCATGTCATATATTCAATTTTAATAGTCTTAACAAAAATGTATATGTATTAAAAGTAACAGAAGATAATGTATTGTGAATTGTCAACTGTATACTTTTATTGACAGAAAACATTCAACATTTTACTTCCTTAGAAACATCTTAAACAGCTTAGAGCTTAACAAATAAGCCTTATTTCTAAATAAGATACAAAAAAATCTGTCATTGTTAATTTACACAAACTTAAAGTGTACTTAAACAAAATCAAATATTTTGGGATGCCATAATAAAAAGGCATAAGGTATTTATTTTAGGCTTGTCCTGCGGTAATTAACTGAAAATAGAAGCCATGGCGGAACAGTCACACATCTTTAGATAATATATCAGTACTTGTTTGGCTTTTTGTCCTAGCTCAAAGTCTAAAATGTCCTTTTAATCACTTCAGACATTTTTCAGTAGTAATAAAGTTTTGTAAAATTCAAACAAATGCTAACTTTAAATGTTCTTTTAGCTCCTTTAAATCTACATACATTTAAAGTGCACAGCATGGAAATCATGAGTCAATTAGAAAGAAAGAAGAGGAATAGAGATTAGTAAAGCCATTTCTCTTAAAGCTTACTTGTTAAGAATCAATGGCAGATTTTGCTTTGGAAATATAAGCATCTCTGCATTTTTGGCAGACAGCTTGTTCCTTTTCTCATCTACAATATTCCCTGCTGTGCTAAAAAGTCGCTCACTATCTACACTTGTGTATGGAGCCCAGAGGTAGGCTTGTGCTGCTTGTGCGAGAGCGGGGAAACTACTTTTATTGTCTCGCCAAAAAACAAGCGGCTGTCCGCTCCGTGGGATGACTGGCTCTGATAGGTAGAGGTTAATCTGCGATGATGTTGAGCTGCTGATGTCAGCGCCACCATGTTCCCCGTCTTCATCCAACAACTCAGCATACATAGCGTTTAAGGAGCCAGCTCGACTTTCTCTGGGGCCTCTGTGCCAGTCGCTTCCAGGACAAGGACATCAGAAAGCAGCCCGCGAATCCGGGGCCTGAGTGCGTCGGAGAAATATCTGTCTTTATACCTTTTTTGTTTGGTTGAAAATAAAAATAAAACTTAAATGGATTTACTTAAACAAACAAGATTTTATTTTAGCTGCGCGTAGGTTACCTAAATGCACTACCGGACCACCGTCCGTTTTCTTCTTCTTCACCACTTCCAGTCGCATACCAATGCAGAGCAACTACAGCGCCCCTAGAGGAATCGGAGGAGTGAATCAAACAAGTAGTGCGTCTCATCGGCCCATCTGATCGGCCTTTATGGAGACCGCCGATCAAACTATTTAAAGCCTTTATCGGCCGATAACGATCGGTGACCGATCAATCGGAGCACCCTTAATGTTTTACATGGATAATTAGCTTTTTGCAAATGCATATTATTTGAAATGACTACCGTAAGTTTGCTGAAGAGTTGTGTTATCAGTTTGACCCACCTTCTCTTTTGAGGGACAGGACATGTAATGTTAGTTTTTAAAGTGATTGCACATTCACCTCAAGTATATATGTATTTTAGCGCTGCAACTAATGCTTATTTTGCAAACCGATTAATCTGTTGATAATTTTTCGATCGATCAATTGATTGATAATAAGATGGCCAAAGGGTTTCTGCAAAATTAAAGAAGGCGAAACTAAAACCTTTCCACTTAAGGATTCCTGTATAGAACATATTGACACATGAAAATGATTTACATCTTAAATGCAAAATGTTTACATATTTTTATTTTTTATTTTTTTTACAATTTTGCTATAATTACTGCTCTATGTAGGTTTCTCTGTCAGTTAAGGCATGTTTTAGAGTCTCTATACTCCAGTTAACAATTAATGGATTATTTCAATAATCTGT